CTTAGAATCGAAAGCCCTAAACCCCAAACCCTAAACCCAAAACCCCTAAACTCCCAAACCCCTGAACCCCTAAACCCTGAAACCCTAAACCCTAAACCCCTAAACCCCTGAACCTCTAAACCCCTACACCCTAAGCCCTAGACCCTAAACCCCTTAACCCTAACACCCAAACCCCAAACTCTAAGCCCCGAGGTACAACCCGGATGAGTTCATGAACGCCTAAACCCGAACCCCTAAACCCTAAACCCTAAACCCTAAACCCTAAACCCCTAAACCCTAAACCCTAAACCCTGAACCCTATAAGCCCTGAGGTACAACCCGGATGAGTTCAAGGGCGTGAAGGTCTCGTCTGAGATCGAGGAGCTCTTCAACTGCATCACGAGGCCCGATTGTTCAGCGCTTTTTTAGGGCTCTTAGGGCTCCTAGGGCTCTTAGGGTTTGGGGTTTAGGGCTTTTGCGGTTTAGGGTTTAGGGTTTTAGGGTTTAGGGGTTTGGGGTTTAGGGTTCAGGGTTTAGGGTTTCATGGTGTTGGGGGTGTTTAAGCCATAAGGTTCGGAGGGGGGTTTGGGTGGGTTCAAGGGGTTGAGGAGTTTAGGACTTAAATCTAGGGCGTTTCGGGTTTAGGGCTTAGGATTAGGGGCTCAGAAAATAGGGCAAACGGCGCCAGGGTTGTCCGGTGTTCACGAGGCTGTTTGCGGCAACAAAGGGCCTATCGGGGCGGATATGCTTTGTTTTATATATCAAGATGTTCGGGGGGTGTCCAGGGTTGGAGCTTTGGGTGTGAACACCCCCGATAAAAAGCGAAGGTGCTCAGCTTTAGAAGTGGATATCCTGGGCAGGGCTTCGGGTTCAAGGGGTTTCCATCCAAAGCCACTTCCAAAACAGACAGACAGCTATCCTATTAGCCTGAAGGTTTAGGGTTTAGGGTAAACTTCTACCAAATATACCTTGGCCGTACTCCTGGACCCTAGAACCCCAGGCCCTAGACCCGGAGCGTCGACCCTTAACCCAAAGCCTAAACCCCAAGACCCAGACCAGCCTAAACCCTAAACCCTAAACCCTAAACCCTAAACCCTGAAACCCTAAACCCTAAACCCTAAACCCTAAACCCTGACAGGTACAAGCCACACACCATTGAGCTCGACACGGTCCTGAAGCCTTTCATCCCGGAGCTGATACCCAGCATCGGAGAGGCTCGGTTTAGGGTTTAGTGGTTTTAGGGTTTGGGGTTTTAGGGTTTAGGGTTTAGGGTTTAGGGTTTTAGGGTTTAGGGTTTAGGGCTCGGTCCTTAGCTGGGCTCTTGTGAAGCAGCTGCCACCTTCAAGGTGCCAGGATAAGGCACGCACTCTGCATATTCCAATCTCGCAGCCTTGTTAACCGGTAAACTACTTCAATGCTTAAAGTTACTGTCAACCTTGGTTCCGGGACCTAATACAGTCCCTGCGACCCCTCTGCCCAAAATCCCAGCAAAGGGGGATAATTCTAGAGCAGCCCCGAAGAAGCCTGCAGGCCACCAGTTCTTCCCAGCTACCTGCTCTAGCCGCCGGGGCCAAGCCTATAGCATCTGGCGTGGGTATGTAGGAAGCCTGGCCCAGCCGAGCAAAAGCTCGCCGCCCCCACAAGGAGGAATGCCGGGGAGGTGTCGGGGTGCGGGTGCTTCGGCAAGGCGTAAGCCGTGGCTGGAGGATCCAGGCGTCTTGCAAGTCGACGTCATCGCAGTTTCGATGCCTTCGTGAGATCCTGGAGCAGGAGACCAGCGTGGAAGGTCATGTGCATCAGCTCGGGTGTCAAGTAAAAACGTTAATCGCCAACACTGAACCTTACACCCCCGAAGCTTGGCGTGTAAAGCTCAAACCCTGAACCGTAGCCGTAGCCCATGAAACTCGAGCCTAGAAGCCAGCCCATGAAACTCGAGCCTAGAAGCCCAACCTTTGCCGAGTCCATAGCCTTGCCGTACGTCTCCAATATTTGGGGCCTGAACAAAGAATACTACAAGGTCTTAAGTTTCCCCAATGCAAGTAGAGCGTAGTATGCCCCACAACTTTGTTCTCACTATGAAGGCACCTATCGGTGGAATATGCACACATCTATGCTACATGTAGTACAATGAAGTACTTCAAAACTTTGTGTTGTCTGATGTCGAGGCCACACGACAGCCCATGATACCCGAATTTCGGACTATTGCATGACCTGTTCCTAGTATGCAGGCTGTTGTATTGCTGTTGGTTTCCAAGATTCCAAGGGAAGTCGAAGCCACAAGCAGTGGATGCCGTTTGGATTCACAGTTTGGGGTACACGCCGTACCGGTTCATGTGTTGGGGTTCAGGGTCTCGACCTAGACCCTAGAGCCTGAAGCCGTCAGACATTCGACACTTGCGTCATCCCATCATAGGGTACTCGAGCCACCTAAACCCTAAACCCCGAACCCTAAACCCTAAACCCTTAAACTTAAAGTTCTGAGCCGCTAGGTGGATGCCTTCTTGAAGATGCCACGCCCTGACGGTGCCCCGAGCGGACTTGGGACGGCCTGCCTGGACGAGCCCACGCTGCCACGGCCTCAGCAAAAAGGGCACTGTACTCCCTCCCAGAGGTTGACCTTTTGGTTCTTGTAGGATGCTGGACAAGTGATGTTAGTTTGGTTTTGCTGTTCAGGGGGTGTAGGGTTTAGTGTCGTTTTTCAGAGGTGTTGAGGAGTCTGTGAGGTTCAATAAGGCTCTACAGTGATTCCTGGTTAGGGGCTGCAGCTCTATGTGTCCTAGGGCATCGTGGTGTTGATTCGGGTCCAGACCTTGGAGGTTGAGGGATCCACGGCTTACTGTGTGTTGTAGGATTTAAGGTTCAATCCGACTCTCGACCTTCTGACGAACCCTGAAATCCCTGGACTGAAACCCGACCTGGAACTTTAATTACCTACGGTTTTATGGGTTCTAGCTACTGACTGATTAAGGGGTAATGGCTGCTAAACTGGAGGTAAAGAGAGTTACAAGTAAACCCTGAACCCAACAAGGCTTAACCGTTTCTGGGCCGACGCTAACGCAGCTAATTAGCAGGGTTCAGGGCTCGGCGTAAGATGTAGGGAGACAATAGTACCAGTAAGCTTCTCGTCGTAGTTGGCAATAGTGGCAGCGGCGGAACAAAAGTGACAAGTTCATTCTTAATCCTGAGTGTAGGTGATAGGGGCTCAGGGTTTTGTAGGGTTTTATCGTTCAAGTTTACGGCATACCAAAAGCCCCATTCACTGAGACGGCCAAAGGAGCCGAAAACTCTGCGAGAATCTAATTGCAACGCCTTACCCCTCGGTTGTGGTGTGGAACATCTCGTCAGGTTTGTTCTTTTGGTGTTCAGACGTCATGTTGAAATTGGGGTTGGGGCTGGCCGATGAGCGGCATGAATCCCGAGGGGCCCGAGTTCCATGCCAAGTTGCACCTCGCAAAGGAAGGTGCCCGTAACCAAAGAAAGCACCTTCTAAACCGTAGGCCGTTGAAGAAACACCTCACAAGGATCCTAAACCCTAAACCCCTAAACCCTAAACCCCTAAACCCTAAACCCTAAACCCTAAATACCTCCTACGCCCGCCACACTGCGAAAGCACGCGCCCCTGTGCACTTCAGGAATCCCTCTGACCCGTCAATCCTTGATTTGCAGCTGCAGCGGACTTGGGAGTGGAGCTGAGGGTTTAGGCTTTAGGGTTTAGGGCTTGGGGTTGAGGGTTTAGGGTTTAGGGTTTAGGGCTTGGGGTTTAGGGTTCAGGGTTTAGGGTTTAGGGTTTAGGGTTTAGGGTTTAGGTTGGGATGAAGGTGCGTAGCCAGAGCAGCCCGAAAAGCCAACATGAACCTGTAAAGATTCCATACAACCTCGGCATTCAGGGGGTTTACCTACAGTCTCCAAGGTAGTTCCTTTTGGGGGTTACCTTTCTTGGATCCTTAAATTCTACTTGGTTCAACCTGAAAAAGGAACTACAATGGAGACTAGAGGTAAAGTTCAGTTTCAGGGTTAAGCCATGTAGGTTTTGCAGCAAGATTTCATTGCCCGGGCTTCTTGATGAATGTCAGCTCTCCCCTACCTGGGATATCCGCACCTTATGACTTGTGTTCAGCTGCCGTTTTTGGGTCCCCACTGTATGGATGACTTGGAGTTCGGTAGATCTGCCTAATTTTTCTGGGCAGTGTTCGGTTTACAGGGATTCACGGTGAATCTTCAACACCAACGCCCAGCAGCGTCCTTGCCCTTGGAACCTAGACCTGCGAGGGAATCTAGACCCCAGCACCTAAGAATAAACCCTAAGCCCTAAACCCTCAATCTTCAAACCCCGCCTCCTAGCAGGCTCAGAGTTTTGGTGCCAATCTGAAGCCGCAAACCGCATTCTGCGGCCAAAGGGTTCAATGCTTAAGTGAGGTAGCCTGGCATGCTGACGAGCTCAATTCCTGCACCCTGACCCCTACCAAGAAGAGTGATGGAGCTACAGGAATGAAAGCAGGAATACCGAAGCCGTTGAATATAAGACGTAGGCTGATATCAGCAATAGTCACATGACTAGTGCCAGCAGTGGAAACAGTACGCATCTCGCATCCTGAGCCCACCATAGCCTTCTCAGCGTCCCAACTCGCCCCTAGAGAGATTGAGTGAGTAGGCTCCACATCTTAGTCAAGACCCTAAGCCAACCCTGCATCTTACATGACGCTTGCGATTGAAATTCTATGGGCCATCAACCCTGACTGCCATAATTAGGCCAGGGTTTGGGGGGTCCCTTATTATTATGACTACAGTATTATATACCCCCAAACCCTATTCTAATTATTAAGGTCCCTATATTAAGCACCCCCAATCCCAAGAGCCCGATAAGACACGAGAGTCAAGTAAGAGGTCAGGCACCCGGGTACAACATACACCTTGACACCAAAAGAATCCCAAAAGGATGGAGCCCCAAGCACTCGATGCTAGACCTTCTAAACCAGAAACCCTGAAACCTATCCCCACATAGAAGCCCTGTGTGCAACAAAGACCTGAGCCCTAGAACCCTCAAAGACTCGAGGCCGAAAACCTGAGCCCAAAGGCCAAAACCTCAAAGTTCGAGTAGGGTTTAGGGCATAGGGCTTGGAAAGCTCGAGCAGAAACTTCCTCAGGCGGTCGTTGAGCAAGAATCAGGACCTTCAGCCAATGGAGGCAAGGTTTGCTGCGGTTTCGGGGTTTAGGGTTTTGTGCTTAGGCCCAGGCCCAGGGCTCAGGTGTGTCTGGGGGGGCGTTGTGCGCTTTCGGAAATGGGGACTCAGCGCCCGACCAGTGGCTTCACAATGTTGTGATTTGCGGCTGTGCACGGACGAAGTCAGAGTCCGTTGAGGAGTGTGGGAGTTTCAGAAAATAGAGGTACCTTACTTTGGGGTTCTTATAATAAGGATCCTGCTACTTAGGGTACGATATTAGGGTCCCCTATTTTGGGAAACCCCCGTGTGGCGGTTGCATCAAGTGGAAGTGGTCAGCAGTGGCAATAGCACAGCGGCATGCGCCAGCGAAAGTAGCAGGGGAGGGGCAGGACGAGCGGCTGTCGCGGTAGTATGTATAGATTACGTCAGCACCGATGCTTGCACGACGAGGGCGCCGAAGACGACGATTATCTATGAGGGGGGTGCGCAAGCTTGGAGCAATCATCTACAGGGGGTTCCTGAGGCGGCCAGGAAGCACTGAAGACATAAACCACAAGTGGGTAGCTCGCCGAATTAAGCTCCCTTTTGGCATCTGTTCTGTAAGGGTGCCATACTTTTTGTGGGACTTCAACAGGGACCCCGATTTAGAGAACTACCCAAGTGGTGGTGTGCACTGGTTGATTTTCATCGCAAGTAAGTAGAGTTGCAACTGCCTCTGCCATGGGTCAAACCATCGACATATCACCGTGTGTATGCAGTGGGTGTCATGCTGCTGCCGGCTGCCTCAAAGCATACTTAAGAATCCCATTGCGAACCATCCGCAACGAATTTTCCAAGTGTTGGAGATGTCCTCCACCCAGCCTCGAGGGAATGACAAGTCCTCGCTTAAAGGATATGTGTATGTAGCTATATATATATATTTATATAATTTGTTTTTTGCATATATATATATATATACACATGTATTTATCTATGCACTGAAGCTAGCCTTCAACCGCCCCTAGACCTTAAAAAAACTGGCTGCAGCAAGGTGCGGTCCATTGAGAATGCTGAGAAGAACCCCAAGGAGATCGACAACTGGGCAGAAGCCTTAGGTGGTTTTGGGGGGTTTAGGGTTTAGAAGTGGAGGGTTTCAGGTTTAGGGTATAGGGACTTCGGGTTTAGGGTTTAAGGTTTAGGGTTTAAGGGTCTAGGGGTTTCGGATTTAGGATTTTGAGGTTTAGGGTCTAGGGTTTTCGGATTTAGGGTTTAGAGGCTTGAAGTTAAAGGTTTAGGGTTTAGGGATTTCGGGTTTAGGTTATTGGTGTCTCCAAGTTCCGAGTCGGTGTCGCCAAGGACCCAGGGGAACTGCACCTGACACAATAATTAGAATAGGGTTTCGGGGTATATTAAACTATAACTGTGACAAGGAGCCCCCAAGATAGTATAGGTAATTATTTAGGCCCTACATTATCGACCGATGCATGACGGAATTTGGGTTCAGGACTTCAGGGGCTTTGGGTTCGGGAAGCAAGGACATCGAAACCCAGCCCACCCGCCAAACTCCATGATGCCATGTGACCGAGATTTCGCAACAGCTTGGACCTTGCTATCAAGATGGTGTGTGTGGCAACCCTGTGTCCAAGGGTGTTCACGTCAGCAGTCATGTATATATTTCAGCAGGGACGTCAGGCCCACCATACTTGCTACACAACGAAGCTATGCTTCACCTCAAGCCCCCAAACCCTGCCTCCCCAAGTGCCACTTGGGGGTTCATGGGATTTAGTAACTAGGGCTATAAGTAGCCTACATGGAGTTATAAGTAGTTATGCAGTATAGTTACCTTTTTTATAACAATAGTTACTAAGTTCCATGAACCTCCAAGCAAGCCCCAAGGTTACTCCAAAGCATCCCAAGCCGGTGAACCTCACGCCTTCGACCCTAAGGTGAAGCGCATTGATAGCCTGAACCGATCGAAGCCGGCACCCACGGTGCAGTACTCCAGAAGGACACTTTCGGATGGGGCGGCGTAGGGTTCGGGGCAAACCTGCACAAGATCACCTTAGAAAGGCTCCTTTGAGGATTGTGCTTGGCTCACCGATGCCTTAAGCGCTCAAAAGCTGCATGGGGCTTCCTTGAGTTTTTGTTTATTGATTTACCCTAGACCCCAAGCACCTTGTCGTGGCTACAGCGCGTGTTGTTTCAGGCTGCAGGGCTGATGTGGAGCGACATAGTCCCAACTATGCCCCATTTCACTTGAAAGGAACACGCTTTCGGCCTCCATATCTCCAGCATCACCTCTGCGCCAACCTTTTCCTCCACCTCCCGAAGTTTAATTTTTAGAGTAAGTTTTCAGGGCCCCAAAGGTCCCGGGGATTCGGGAGTTCAAGCACATTGGGATTCAGGTTTGGGGCGGTTCCCACTCGGACATTCGAAAATCTTTCAGCCTAAATCCTGACCCCAATCTCAAAAAAACCGCAGCCCGAGACTGCGAAGGATGCCCGACATTGAGCAGCTCATGCAAGTTTGGCCTGCGGAGTTTGAGGCGCAAAACGGGCCTTGCATCTACAGAGCGTAGTGTAGACCCTCGCCTATAAACCTCCAGGCCCTAATGTACCATGGGTAGTTCTCTAAATTCGGGTCCCTTCAGGGGTTTAGGGTTTAGGGTTTAGGTGAATATATAATATCTGGGTAGTTCTCTAAATTCGGGTCCCTTTTTAGATCTCCAATATAGTACGGCACCCTTATAAAAGGACCCCTAAAAGGGACTCTAATTTAGAGAACTACCCACATCACAACCGGGATACTGCCATGATAGCTCTTCAAGCCCGGCACTGGGCTTTGTTAACGAGGGGTACAGAAAGGCCATGTGAGACATTACTATCCCCATAAACCTAAACTCTAAACCCTAAACCCCTAAACCCTAAGCCCCGAAACCCTATAAAACCCCGAAACTCTAAACCCTAAAATTTTTAACCCCTAACTAAACCCTCAAACCCTAAACCATATAATTTTAAACCCCTAAACCCTTAGTCCTAAAAACCCTAAACCCTAAATTTGTTGACCTCTAAACCCTTAAACCCTAAACCCTAAAGAGGAACCTCAGGGATTCTGGAGATCATGCAAGGTGGTGAAGCAGCTCATGCCATCGGGGAGTTGATGTTGTGATGTAGTTTAGGCTTAAGGGCTTTGGGTTCAGGGGTTTAGGGTTTAGTTTTTGGGGTTTAGGGGTTCAGAGTTTAGGGTTTGGGGTGGGAGATGCTCGTCAAGGAAACTTACCGGCAGCTTTGGAGAAACTTGCAGGACTGCGCCTGATTTTTGTCTGACGTGAATAGGGTTTGGAGGACACGGGTGCTGTTGAGTACCACGCCTGCGGGTTGGTTCATGTGGTTGTGGCATGGATCTTGTCGTAGAGTGCCCTGTGTATTATTTTAGTGCGCATGCTGCAGGCAGGTTCCCCGTGTGGTGGACAATGCGAACGCTTCTATCTGCGGCTATGTGGTCGTGACAGATTTCCCACCTGTGGACTGGAGCTGTAAATTTGCCAAGTGCTCCACCCGTGACGTGTTTCTTGATCCAGACGGTGCCGTGCTACCAGCCACGAACACCTCGGCGGCAAACATCGCCGCTTGGGTTGGAAACGCCAAGCGATTGGTTGATGACCTGTGGCCAGTTTGGTGACGTCTACTATCACCATTTTATGTAATATAGGGGCCTGAATAATTAGAATAGGGTTTGGGGGTATATTATACCATAACTGTAGTAAGGGGCCCCCAAAACCCTATTCTAATTATTCAGGCCCCTACATCACGTGGGAGAGGGGAGCTTTGTCAGTCGATGCTGTTGCGCTCGCAGGGCGTGCCACATGCGAGGGTAAAAAGAACGGTTTAGGGTGTAGGGTTTAGGGTCTAGGGTTTAGGGTTTAGGGTAGGGGTTTCGAAGGTTGGCAGGCTGCGGCTGACAGTACACATTGCAGGGTAGGAGAAGGCGGCGACAACCTTCCAGCCAAGAACTGCGAACATTTCTGCAGCGAAGTCTGTGGCATTCACTTCTAGCCATGAGGGTGCCACACTATTTGGGGACTAGGCGAACTTGAAAAAGGTTTATTGTACATATATACCTTGAATAGGAGTAGCAGCATAATACTCATGTGACGCCAATATTGGATTTCAGGTTCATGTACTCCCGAGGTTTCCGAGCTTCTTCAATCAAGAGGCTCTGGGACATAAATATGTGGGTTCCTAGGGATGCACTGAGGATTCTTGCCCAGGCCTGCATTCGACCCAACAGTCATTGACGAAACTAGGTTGGGGCAGGGAGGAGCAGCGAGGTGCGGCAAAACTGAATCAGGCCGTTGCCAGGTGCTGGTCAACCGATGTCTCATGTAGAGGCCTAAATAAGAAAATACTATTTTGAGGGGTTCCGCACTATAATCATAGTAGAATGGGGCCCAAAGCCCTCTTCTAATTATTAAGGCCCTTACATGCCCCTACATTATCTCCACGGAGAACCTGACTCTTTGGACTGAACAGAGTCGTAGCAGGGCCAGGGCATGGGATAGATGCGTCGAAACCATGAGCGTTGGTTTAAGGCTTAGGGTTTAGGGTTTAGCTGCTGGCTACAGTTAAGGGATGATTCTGAGTTCCCCAATACCCAACCTTTAAACTTTTTGGCTTCTTATTGCAATCTAGTAATCTGAAAGTTTATATCCCTGGCTCACTGGGGAAGTAAGGATTACGGTTCAGGATTGAAGGATAGAGAAAAGTTTCAGAGTGCCATGTCTGTGAAGCCCGGCTATCGAGCAGTCGAAAGCATTGTTCTAGGCCGAAGAATATTGAGAATCCTTAGCAAATACTGCAAAACTCTAAACCGTGACAGAGAAAGAGACAGAATAAATGTTACCCGAAGTCTTGCCTGCCTTGCGCGAGCGTGAGAGTCGAAACCCTGACTGTGAATAAACATCGAATGACGATTGGCAATAAGGACAAGGCACTGTGGCGGACCTGAGGACACGAATCTGCCAAAGTAAAATCAAGCATGGCTGCTCAGGTTTTCTACTCTTGAATCGCCACCATTACCGGTGTACAGCTTGAAGTCAGCATTGCTTCGAGATACGGGTATGGGGCTTAAGGAGTCAGGTTATGAGTTTAAGCTGTACGTACTATGTACGAGGTCATCATGTTAAACTTGTGTAGAAGAGGCGCCAAAACCCCAAAGCTTGTCCCTTAATTTAAATGTCATACAAAGATTTGCAGAGACGCAATTATCGCGGTCACATTAAAAGGAAACACATGTAAGTACATAGAATGATAGTGATGAATATTTTGATCATCAGCACTCCATGCCACCGAGAAGCTCCGCCTAAACCCTAAACCCTGACACCCTAAGCCCTAAGCCTAAACTTGGGCAGGAATATCTGCAAAACAATCCGCTCCCAGAGCTTGCAGACCTTGAGCCCTCGACCCGGCTAGCTCCGTGCTTTTCAGATTCGGGGTCTAATATGGGGTGCGCCTGAATAATTAGAAGGGTTCTGGGGGCCAGCCATTATACTATATTTATGATTTATGATAAGCAACCCAGAGGATAGTATTGGTAATTCTTTAGGCCCCTATATTACCTATGTTTAGGGTTTAGGGCTTTCTACCCATAGTCTCCGTTAGCACTTGCAGTTCCTTGTTGGGGTTACCTTTTTGGATCCTTAAGGTATGATTGGGTAAACCGCCGAACGGAACTACAATGGAGACTATAGGTGGGGTTCAAGGAGTTCGTGTTTGAGGGGTGTAATATAGAAGCCTCAGTAATACTTACCAATATTGTTCCTTAGGGCTCTTTATTACCGTTCTGCTATAAAGGTACCCCCAAACCTCATTCTTTGTAGATGTCTGCTTTACACGTGTATTTACACGTTCTTTGAGGATGCATATGTCGTCCTTTGTTTCGCTCTTCGTCGACAGGCTTTCGCCCGCATCACCCCCAAACCTCATTCTAGTTAATCTGGCCGTTTCCCCAAAACCCTATTCTAATCATCAAGGCCCTTATAGTGGGGATTTCGGGTCTCAGGTGAGCTTCTCGGTATGATGGTGGTTTTGGTAGTGGTGCTGGGGCTACTGCAGATACGGCTCGGACGTGGTACAGGCAACAGTATACAACATAACGTGGCAGCAGCACCAGCAGCAGGAGTAGCATTAGTAACTATTAGCCGTGGGAGTGGCAGTGGCAGTGGCAGTAGGAGTACTGGTGGAGTAGGGGTTGGGGTAGTAGTAGCAGTAGTAGTAGTAGTAGGAGGAGGAGGAGGAGGAGAAGGAGGAGTAGCAGCAGTATCAGCAGCAGCAGTGCCGGCAGCGACGTCGGCAGTTCTTGCAGCGGTTGTGCTCATCCTCGTCCCATTCGCCTCGCATCCTCAGCACCTCAAGCCGGATAGCCTCCTCATCACCCCCGAAGCCGGGACAGTTTTAGGAACAACCGTTATAACCGCTATACAGTATAGTATGGTATAGTAGCGTACAGTACAGTATAAACCCCCAACCCTAAACCCTAACCCCTAAACCCTAAACCCCCAAACCATAAACCCCTAAACCCTCAACCGAGCAGATCGAAAAAGGGGCAAACCTAGGAACAGCACTGCGAGGTTGGACCTGCCGAGCTACATCCGGATCTTTGCTTCGATTCTAGACGTACCTGCAGGATTCCCAGGGTGTTGGGTTTAGGCCTTTAGGGTTTAGGGTTTTAGGGCTTAGGGTTTGAGGTTTATGCAGGATTCCCAGGGTTTTGGGTTTAGGCCTTTAGGGTTTAGGGTTTTAGGGCTTAGGGTTTGAGGTTTATGCAGGATTCCCAGGGTTTTGGGTTTAGGCCTTTAGGGGCTAGGGTTTAGGGTTCTAGGGCTTAGGTAGGGTTTTTAAGCTTAGGGTTCGGGGTTCAGGGCTCTAGGGTTTGGGGTGTTTAAGGTTTTAGGGCTGTCGAGCAGACAGAGTTCATGGTTTGGGTCCTGGTTTCAGAGGGTTTAGGGTTTAGGGTTTTCAGGGTTGCAGGAGTTTCTTCTATAGCCACTCGGGTTGTTGGTGCAGGGGAGGGGGTGGACGTGTCCGTCATGGGGCCTGCGTAGTGTTCCGTCGCATCGTTTTGCACGATTGGTTGTGGGCATTGGGTTTAGCCTAGGCCGAGGCTTCCAGCGTCTCATTCATTTCACCCTCAAAATAGCCTCCGAGTCCTATTTTGCATGGTTGGGTGTCATGGATGCGCTGTGGCGGCGGGGGGGGGGGTGGGTGGGTGGGGGGTTGTATTAGTCTTTAGGGTCAAGGGCATTGTAAGGGTTATCATGCGGCTCGTTTCTGGCTTTTTCATGCCTGGCTGGGGCTTTTACAACGTTTCTGTGAGTTTTTTTAGTCGAGAGATCTGCTTGGAGCTCGAAGGGCTTAGGTTCTTCGGGACCTAAGCCCACACCCTAAACCCTATACCCTAAACCCTAAACCCGAAAATTTTCAGCCGAGAACGAGTACACGTAATACAAAGCCCCCTTACACCACTACGCTTAACACAAGCCTGAAACCCAAACCCTAAACCCCTGAACCGCAAAGCTCTAAACCCCTAAACCCCTAAACCAAAGCCCCTAAACCCTAAAGGCTGTGATCCCTCAAATCACTGCCAAGGTCTACAGCCAAATCACGGAGACGCTTCACGTTATCTTCACATTGTACTCTGAGTTCAAGTCCAACCAGCATTTCTCAAAGGACTCGGGCTCAGTCTAATGGGTTTCAGGTTTAGTGCCGGATGTTTGGGATTAATATAGGGGCCTGCATAATTACCTAGACTTTTTTGGGGGTTCCTTAGTATAATTATAGTATAAGATACCCCCAAAACCCTAGTCTAGTTTTTAAGGCCCCTAGATTAGGTTTTGTTGGTGGTGTACACCGGATGTGTTGATCAAGTTCCTCGGGGCTCCTTGAAGGGAGCTGCAAGGACTTGCTTAAGAGGAATCTGTGTTTGGGGATAGGGTTTAGGGTTCAAGGGAGCTGGGCCCAGCTTAGCAGCCTGGGGATTTCAAAAGGCTCTGGGAGGATAAAAAAGGGCTTCTAAAAGGGTGTAGGGCCAAAGTTTGGGGTTTTGGTTTCTGGGGTGATGAGGCTTGTGGCTTGGGGGTAGGACTTGAAAGTTAGCTCCAAGACAGGTGTTTGGAGTTTGGGTTTTCAGAGACATAAGTGCCAAGGTCGTCAGGAAAGCATGTTGGCTTTTTCGGGAAAATTTAAGAGATCAGTCTTTGCATGTCCTTTCCAACTCGTCCTGTGCCGTGTGTGCAGAGAAGTAGGTGCCCAAACCCTGATCCCAGAAGCATACACCTGAACACCAAACCCAGAACTCCACACCCTGAGCCCTAAAGGCCCTAACCCTAACCCCTAACTTAACCCCTAAACCCTGAACCCCACACCCGAGCCCGAAAGCCTACGACCGTGGAACTCTTCATCTGAACTGAAGCACTCTTGCGACTGAGTCCTGCTATCAACAACTGCAACGCCGAGACTCGTCACCTCAACAGGGCCTATGATAAACATGGGAGCAACAATAAACAGTTACAAGAACAATAAAGTATCAGTAGCACAGACAAAAGGTAACAACATGACGTGGACATTTGTCAAATGAAGCCGCAATCAATGCACCTGCACATCAGATTTTTGATATGATGTTGGAGTGCATTCCTAAGGCTAGGTTGTGGATCCTTAGCAGTATATGTACACTGAATCTCTGAGGCCCAAAGGCCGAGTCTCTTTTAAACCTTGAAGGAACCGTAAAGAAACCGATAAAAACCCTTTAACAACCCTTAAGGAACCCTCTAAATCCTTTCCAAATCCCTTAGAAGGCGAGTGTAACCCACCCGCTTAGAACCTAAACCCCATGCCCTAAACCCTA